TTGCGGTGACAGTTCGCCATAAGCTCTCACTCGACCAGTGGTGTTCGAGTAGAGAGCTTGTATAAGGTTAATGTACATCTTCGGTACACCTTTCAATGACAGACACTGCCGCAGATCAACAGAGCCAAATGCCACTTTGAGGTCGAGAAATACTACTATTGTGAGGGGTCTGAACGTGTGTCTTTGTTCTAGGATATGACTTAGTTTGAGTATCTTTTCTATACACCTAATTGCAGGTCAGAAACCAGCCTGGTTTTCTCGCGTTTGCTCTTCACGAGCTTTCGTTAAGCGTCAGAGTATTATTGAGGCCAATATTTTCGATATTATATTAGTTATTTGGTTTGCAGAAAGAAATGTATGGATATCTAAGTGTCCCACTTAGTACATATACCATTTGAACAAAGTTTAATAATGAATTATCGAACGTATTGCAAAAATTTCGTCAAACTGAATTATGGATCAAGAAGTTACACAGAAATCTCAATTTTGTTTTAAGTAAGGCTCGACAGTTAGGCGATCCCTACTACCTCTTCTTAATTAAAAGATACAAGTAAGTCAGATCTCTGATATTTTCTTGATTAACTCAGCAAACAGAGGCCATTAATTTAGAAGCTTCCCGAAGAAGCCTTGAATTAATACAAATACCTTAGGATAAGAAAAAGTTTTTTACTTCATTTTAATCTTAAAATGGGTGGAGCGAAAGCAGAAATTATTTCCAAAGAAACACAATAGACGATGGGACATAAATCTCCAAGTTTTCTCAATTTAAGATTTCACCTCAACAGCCATTGTTCAAGATAACTTATTACAAGGTATTGTACAAACATCCACAGAAACGTTTTGATTTTAATGCTTCAATCAACAAAACCTTATCTTTGAACGATTTCTATAGTCAGTTATAGTTATTTGAGACATGCTTTGCGTTAAAATTTATTAACTTCTACTACTCTTAACGGACACTGGTCCAATCTATCAATTTTCGAACATTATTAGCGGCACGACTGTTTAATTTAATATATCGTAGGAAGTTAGCTTCAGTTATGATTAAACTAACTTACATCAAAGTCTTAACAGCAACATCAGATTTCTTACTTTTACTTGACTTTTAAATATCGAGTAATGAATATTGAAAATTAATAAGCTAAATTCTACTTTTGCTCGACATCATGATCACTATATAATGATTAGAAATTTTCTTTATATTTTATACCTTTTTTATTTTTCATTCAAAAAAGGTTTCTTAAAAGATTCACCATCCCATACTTTTTTTGGAAACTATTTCATAAGTGATTGAATACCAAAACACCTAGTTATCTTTATAGACTTGGCTTACTATCAGAAAGTAAGATACACAGAAATGCATGTAAAACAAGTCAGATTAAGACTCTTGTGAATAATAACAATTTGCTATATGATAGTCAAAGAAAAGAAGTTGCTAAATTTGCCTTTAGACAGTATAATACTATAAAGAAATCAAAAACGATACTGGTAGGTTGGAATTATCCGGAACTATTTGTAATGGATGTGCCTAATGCAAAACGACATGACATGATTTATGATAAACTCAAAAATATTACACTTTAAAGCCTAAAATAAAATAATTCGTTGAAATTATTTCTATAAATATAGCACTCATTCAATAGATGAATGTAAAACTAATTGAAAGTGCAGGATATCAAACATTCAAAGGGCATGAAAATGTTGTAGATAAAGTCAGCCTTAGAAAATTTGTAGACAATAAGTAGTCGTATGGGATATGGAGAGTAACTGCCGACACATTTGAATTCAGATATATATGTTTTAGTCTTCTTCAACTAAACTATACAAAAGACATTTAAATAAAATTATTGTAATAATTTTTACAGGATATAATGAATTTAGGGTTTCGACAGTGCCCAGTGGCGGCATCGAAGATACCCAATTTGTTCCATTTGAGACAAACCAGCTGAATGTATATTAGTGTTCATAATATGACCCAAGAGAAACACTTTTCACTTCAAAAACCCAACGTGTTATCCACTTAGTCACTGAGTACTTGGTTAAAATTTACTTTCACTTGTTGGGGTCTGAATTTCTTTGTTTTCGGTTTCGTGGATTTAAATTGATATTGAAACGCGAAACACTGGGTTAATGTTTCACTGTTAAGGTATATGTACACCTAACTGAGTGTCAGTACAAATGAAACGTGCTTCTGTATTCTGCTACTAGCCATTATCAAATCTTCATTTGAAAGTGCTTGTAACTTAATAGAACAAATTGTGATAATCGCTTATGATGGCAGCAGAAAAGTATAAACATTCATAAAGGAAGTCAATCTTCAGTGGTACTTCTAGAACATATAAGTATATGGTTTTATTACGTCCTTTACAAAAGATCCTTGAAGAGAAAATTTAGGAATAAACATCTCGATTTGAACTCACTTAATTGCAATTAAATACAGGGTGAAAATTAAAGAAAGCAATTTATAACACTTTCTTTTGTCAAAGTAGCTGACTATTTTTGGATCTTTAAGTCAGGTTTAACCTTACCGATTGTTTTAGAATTCGTGAATTCAGTAAGCTGTTTACTGACTAGTTTTAATTTATATGATTTCCTCTGTGTGTATCCAGTACCTAGTAGATTGTGTGCTATGGTATTACCATGCTTACTTTGTCTTTTTGTGTTCGGTTTTATTAGGACTAATTAAATGGATCATGTAGGTCCTAATCCAACTACCCTTTCATGAATTTAAAGAAATCCGTTTCGTTTTAGCCTAAAGCATGTCACAGTATAGAGTGGTGCTGTCAGATGAATTAGAAATCTGATTATGAACTAAATAAACCTAGTTAACAGACAATTTTTATCATGAAATGATACCACGTTGAGAAATATTGTGAAATAACAATTTGAGTACATCACTTGTCAACAAAAGTTCAAATCAGTGACTAATTAATTCGAATGTAAACGTCGACGTAATATCTCGTTCATAAAGTCGTCATTTGGAATGATGTTCACCTAAATTTCAAATGCTCTAGTCTTTGAAAATAAAAACCAATCTTGTGTTCAGTGGTTTTTATTAGCTCTCTCTCTAATCAGTACGAGTACAAAATGAAACTTATCTAGCGAACAATGTATTTCCATGAAACCTATTTGGTGGGATTGTTCCCCAATGTATTAAACAGAGACAAATAATGACCCGGTGTTTAAACTAGTAACTAATAAATAACTCATTCTTTTTCAGCTAAAACAAACAGTTTTTGAGAAGCTTCAATGATTACCTACATTTAAAATACTACTTTGGTCACCTGAGGACAAGTTTGAAGCGAAGTACACACTGTTTTTTTCTCACAAACTGCATACGGATGTGTTATATTGACTCTAATGAAGTAGTGACATTCATTCAGAACTAACGAAGCTGAAGAACTATCGAATGATTTTCATTATCATTATTTGGTAGTTGCATTATGTACATATAAAATATGATCTATAGATTTCATCGAAAGATCAAATACTTCGTTTTTCATTGCAGAAAGTTGACGGAAATGGACCGATTTTATTCAGTATATTTTTGGATTAGACTAATGTGCAGTTGTAAGCTAAGACAAAATAGCCGTCCAGTGCTCTTAGCTTTTCAGTAATTAATCAATCGGTATTAATCACGAAAATGTTGCTCCATTAATGATTATACATTCGTTTAGCTACTAAAATGGTTTATAAGTAGAATAAATATTTCCGAAAAATTTATGAGGTTCATAATTTTTTGTGGTACAAATTAACGTTAGAGACGTTGGCAAAACGTTGAATCAAAACATATCTACTAATTTTTTACCCAGCATTTATTTAAAACGTATAAATAGTTTATTTGAATTAAATGCAGTGAACACAAGAAATTTTGACTTTGGGTAAATAAAAGAGCCAACTCTACAATGTTATCGTACTCAACAATTTTTTCACTATTTTGAAATCGATAATGATCTTTTTCAACTGAAGTCATCTGTAAATTTATCATCTGAATTCCTTCGACATATGTCTGGCAAACGTGACTGTTGCAATAGATGAAATATTTTGGAGATTATGTCAGTTGTTCACATTATTTTTTAATTGAAACTTCAGAGTTTAAAGATCTGTTCTACTAAAACAAGTAATTGTTCACTTGACTGTTCTGAACATCAAAGTCGGTTCAAAATTTAACAATAAACATTCGTTTTTGAACCAAAAGAACTTTAGAAATCGTTTCCTTTGTTTTATGTCACATTATCTTGATAATAACATCTAGCTAAATAGAGTTTGTGTGCGTTCAATTCACTTTTAATACACACAGACGTTGTCAGATATGACTGTACTCATAATTTAAACAGACTAATAAATTATTTCAATGAGGAACCATTTTGACTTAAACAATAAGTTATTATTTTATTACTCAACTTCAGACAATTATGAATAGATAACTGTCAAAATCAGTGAATCTTATTGATTCCCCATTAATATCACAGTATACAAACTTCCTAAATTAGTCACTTTTAATGGATTCTGATGTGAAGTTTTTCTTGAATACTTTAACGCATAACCTTCGGTTTTTGAATTTTACAAACTATATATGAAACCATTGTTTGATGAAGATAAATTAATATATCTAACATTTCAAGACATGAATGTGAAAATGTAAATGAACAATACTTCAGATAGCACAAACATATATGTAAATAGATAAATCATTACAGAATTCTCTATAACAAGACACATCATAAAAGCACTTATTCAATTGTAATAGTCAATCTAAAAGGTTTTTCTTCATCAAAGACAAACCATGTTTGTGAAAACATCTTTAACAACCTCGTACATAAATCAAATATACAATGACTAACACAGTTCAGTGTAATTTTGCTTGCTAATGAATGATAATTAGGAAAGCATAAATCATAGATATCATTGATGTAATCTGTGCAAATTTTACTCAATCAAACTGATCACATGTATATAAAAGCAGAAAAAAATTATGTAAACTTTATTTTAATGCTTACCATGATAAAACAAAGCCGAGATTAATGTACTGTAGACGGCAATTGTCAATAGAAACAACAATGTACATTTCCAAGTATCCAAGATTTTCATGATTTGAGATGTAAGATGGCCAGTTCACTTCATAACAAATACAGAAAAAGAACAATAATTCGAAGATATTCATTTAGAGGATGGATATAGTTTGAAATTTGAACCGATTTTCAAAATTCTTTATTCAACCAGACTATTATGGTTGAGAAACTAGTGAGTTACTTCAAAATGTTTCAATAGCAATCATGACTGATGGGGCTTTAGACACTTTGGAAACAAAACAGTTGTCACTAATCACATCGGATATCTGTCAAATAATATTAGCAGTCGGTTAAATTTTGAACTGAAGCATTGTAAGCCAACCAAATGGTTTTATTGGTTAAGCTCACACTGCGTATACTAAAGGTGCTCCGTTGGATCTGTGTTCAGATTGTTTGTGCATACTAATAAGAATTCTTAGAATGAAACGGAAAATTTGTCTACAGCTCCTAAGTTCTTAACTCTATCTGAAATGAAGTCTGTCATCGGCGAATATAACCTACAACTTAAACTGATCTCCATGAAACTTTTACAAATAAATCATAATCGGAAGTTAATCAGGCATTTATCAAACTTAAGAAATCGCCTTACTGATCTACAATACAGAATAGTTTATCTTTCAAAAGAATACATGCTGGAAGTCAATACTAAAATGAAGATAGAATTTCAAAATTAAATTTTTTTGACAAAATAATCAACATTAATTATATTATTTCTCATTGAAGCGAAAAACAGAAATAAACTAGTCAGTCGGACTGTGATATGGAAAACAAGATATATTCTTCTGTTATTTACACTTAATAACAACTAATGAGATGTTGAAATCATTGTGACTATGTTGAAATTATTCCGACATTGCCTTATTATTTATGTAAAATAATGATTAATAAGCCGAAAAGCATCTTTCTATTTTCATTTTGGAGATAAAAAGGAAAAGTTTAAAACAATACCAGTTAAAAATTAATTGTGTGTAACATTTTCAGTAATAAGAATCCTGTTGATAATTGACTAATAGTTAATTATTTAATTAAATTAATATATTTACAATCCAACTAGTTGTTCAATCTATTTAATAAAAAAACAAACCCCATGGTATTATCATTATTAGAATGATAAAATCAGTTAAAAACCTATTGATAAATGTACATTCGAAATATAATATAGGTAGATGGTTTTTTTTAGTAAAATATTTATATGAAAAAAAAATACAATCGTTGTAATAGATTGTGCAATGAACATGTCAACAGCGGGATATTAAACATTCGTTACGATTCTTTTTTCTAACATAGACAAAGCAGTGAAATGATAACAAAGGCAGATCTAAAAAGTTTTGTTTGATCTAATCAGGTTTACAAAAAAAAAACAGTGTTCAGTTTTTGTTTCGGAATTCCGAATATATTACTAATTATCACTCTTCAAGGTGATTTTTGAATGCCTACTATAGTATTATTAAGATGAGATGAATGATAACAAGATCATCGTTATAGTCATTGTGATATCTATTCAGCATATAACTAACTGAAGTTTTAATTTAATGTAATTGCCGCCCAATATGATATTCATCTAAATAACTGATAATATTTATATGAGATGTGTTCATTGTGGCATTTAACTTCCTTTTGTCTGAATCTTGTAAACCGATTCGGTTTCGTGTACTTCAATAGGCTCATTTCATTGGAACCTACTCCTTGAATAATATCTTCGAACCCTAATCTCTCCGATTACTGCTAATATTTCTACTACTTCTACTACTATGGAATTCGAATTGACAATTGAATCTCTGTGCTAATGTGGTATGGTAACTTGAACTGATGTACTTGTGTACGTACAAAGTTCTACATTGCTGTTGATTGACTGACTGATAATCTTGTAAACAATTTGTTCAATAAAATTTCAGTACAGTAACACCATTTTAGTTGTCATCGCTATTGTATGACTAATCTTCATATTCCAATAAAATCCGTTTATTAATTAGTGTATTTCTGAATAAAGTCGTTGTCATGTTTTTTAATGATGAATACTATGTTCGTTTCCAGTCCATTTTTATCATCTTCCATGTGTTGTTCACACATGATTCTCAATTTCCATTTGTTTCAGGAACCACTTTCTATAGACATAGTTAACATTCCGTAAAACTAACACATCTGAATGACAAGAATGAATTTATTGAGATATAAGTAAGCAGAGATAATATTATATGATTCCAAAAGTGGATAAATATTGCTACTACTGAAAAAAATTGACTCAGTTTCTTATTATTTATCACTCACATAAAATATGGTCACAGTTAATCAGATTAGCAGTAACGTAACAACAGTTTCCATAATGTTATTAACCTTAAACCAGTTAATAAATACTCTTCGCGAGAAGAACTTTGAATAAGTTAAAATCTAACTTTTCGATAATATATCCAACTTTATAAGAACTGAGATTTGAACTAGTTATTATGATTAACACAAAGTATGATAGCCAGTTCTTCTCATCAATGAATGTTAACATGAATACTTTTTCGTCTAAAAGCCCACTAATTTTTCGCAAGACCTTTTTAACATGATCAATTTTTTTCAATCAAATATTATCTGAGTAAATTTCTAATTCAATCAGAAGAAATATTTTTTTGTTGGTAAAATGAAATCAGTTGAAGAACTGATGTGCCAAAGAGTCTTGTAGAATAGTAGAAATTTCCGACAGTTTTCATATAATACGCTACACATAATCATATTCATTGCCTTCAGACAATTTAGCCAAGTTCTAATATCCTAGTTTTTTTTTTTACTTTATACAGTGATATAGCATAGTTTATTTAAAATGTTTCCGATCGATAATCATCTCACTTCACAAATTGTTAACTCCATCGATCATGTTTTTCGATCATGTCTTCAACAAATATAATTTACTTAAATAACGTTTGAAAAATGTTATTTGAATAAATTTGTTGGTGTTATCGTTCAGTCAGTCAGTCATAATCAACATAGAGATCCAGCTTAGAGAACGAAGCACCACAACAATCCATGTATCATATTCCGATTCACCATACAACACTAACACGGCTAGATGAACTTTGTAGAATAAACATCAACGAAGCAAAAATAACAGTGACGTCAGTCGTTGTGAGAAAGAGTAAACTTTAAAGAATAAGTTAAGAATGAAAGAATGAATCCGAGAAGTAAAAAGAACAAATGAACATTCGCACTTGATATCCAAAAAATGATAAGAAGTTGATACATTCAAGACGAATGGTTACAATAAATTTCATCTGTTCATTGTGTTTCTACATTAGAATTAAAAACTCACAAAGTTGATATCAACTTCTGGCTTTACATCTCCTTCAAATGAATTGCTTTGTTTTATTTCTACTTATTTAATTTGAATTGATATTATTGTCTGCGTCTGAAGTTTATCTGTAAACGTATAGCGTATTTTGATAAATCTCTCTGTACACCAATAAGCTATTCTTCATTTAGATTTCTTTCCTTTTTCAATTTATGGGTTTATTTGTTTACTATTGACAGTGAACTTGCATATTAATAATTTCAAAGTAACAAGACTTATCACAGGAGAAAGAATTCAGTCAAACAATAAAAACAAAAATTATGTCTTTGATTATGTATTTCACTGAACAGCCGTTTTTTGTGTCACAGTAGAAGTTAGCAAGGTGATCATCATTATAGTTGAAACTAGTAACACCGATATAACCTACACAAATAGTTATGTACCAACCAGATGACCACAAAAAACAGCATTATAAATACATGAGTTTCAGTTAGCATTAAATGATTTCATACTGTATATATGTGATTAAAGCTGTAAAATAAAATCAACTTTGTACAATATTGGTGAACTTTTCAGTAGTAATTATGTTATTAGGACTTTATGCGTAGCAGGTTTTATCTTTATGTTCCAGCAGCACTTATTATTTTTGTACAAAACTCTGTTATTTGGATTGTAGGCCTTGTTTCATTCTGGTGGTATTCTGCTCTCTGAGGTAAACTGGACAAAAATATCAATCTTTTAGTCATACGGTAGTGAGTTTTTTTCCGGTTATTCCATCAACGTCAGGTCATTCTGATGACTGCGTTATGTTTCATTTATTTTCTATAAATTCATAGAAATCAGACTAGAATATCTCTTTTGTTAACTTTGATACAACACATAATTTACATTGGTACCATAGGAAATAGTAAAGGAGTAAATCTACTAGTTTGTGAAACTTAAGTTCATATACTTTTACTTAGTCCTAAAACGTGAAGAGAATATTTTAAAATGTCTAATTAAAACCTGAAATTAAATCTTCTAATAAACGTAATTTTTCATTTATATGTTTACTTTACCGATTATCTCAACTGAAAGAAAATATTGATTAGGGACTGAAAAAATAATTGAAAATTAAGAAGCAACGAATATTTGTTCTTGTCATCCTTGTAACCCAATAGTTCCATAAATCATCCTAGAACACTCACTCACTTAAGCGATGTTACGATCACTCAGTGTTTTCGCTAGAATCAAATAAATCACTTAAAATTGTAGAATATCTTGCTAAAAACTATTTACCACTTATTATCTGTATTCTTATAAGCTATCCATTATAAATCATTTAATGGTAAAACACGATTGTCAGAATTACGGTTGTTTTATTCGATTCAAATGAATCAGCTAATCAGATTTTATGTTATATTCAGGCTGATTTTTTCCAAGAACAATTTCATTTTCGACATTAAGTAACTCTTTTTCTTTGTTTGATCTAAGATAGGAAAGGAAGGGTTTGTACAGATAGTAGAATTTTCAGTAGTATGCATCCACAAACCTGTTGTACATTGAATTAACAAACCATGAAAGCTAGCATTTAATTTAAAAATCGAAGAACCTTGTGACAGACAAAAATTAATTATGTAAATTATGTGTTCTCATTTAGTTATCAATCCTTTCAGCTTGAAAGGATATAAATTAAACTCAAATGAATAAATTTATCAAGTCATCTACATATTAGAAAGTTGAAAATGATGAATGTTTGTCTAACAATTCTGAGTAGTATTTACAAAGTGGTGAAA